GCATCCCGGGATTCCCGGTGTGTAACTTATTTATCCCGGGATTTCCCGGGATTTCCCGGCATAATTTTTAATATAATAACAAGCGGTTTCTGACACAAATTTATCTTAGCACGCTAATCTATATTACTATTTAAAATGAAATATTGTTTTAAAAAACATAAACAATCAATTGATTTGTCACTTAATCGTGAACGAATTTTTCCCATAAATAGACCCGCGGCAGAAAAAGCCCTTTCTGATTCAATTGATGTCGGCTTGATGGTCATTAATGTTGAGTATATTCTTTCTAAACTTTCGCTACGCTTTCCAGTTGCCTCAAAAAGTTTGATTTCTTTTGTGAGGTTTTTTAAATTGCTAATGTTTTCTAGAGCTGCTTTTTCTACTTGTTTGACATTACAAATAGTCGCATCCAATTTTTGTTCAAGCGTCAAAATACTTTTGCCTAATAAATATGGAGCTACAGGTTGAGGTATTGACGGGTCAGAAACCATGCTTTCATTATCACGACTCACTTCAACTATTTCATTATTTGATGAACTAAGGCTAGCATCCTCTATGTACAACCTGGTATAAATTTTTTTTGCTGTCGCTTTTAATGCATGTTTGGGCGGTAAGAGTAGTTTGGAGTTGATATTTGATTCCTGATTATAACTAATTGGGTTGTTTAAAAATTTTAGTAATCCAATTAAATTGGCATTTCTGCGTTCTTCAATTCTCTGCTGCACAGATTGAAGCAGTTTATTAGCTATAAAATTTTTTTTCTCCGTCAAATCGTCTAAGATGAATATCATTACACCTTCTGCGTCAAGTAGAGTAGCATTACTTCTACCAAGTCTTTCTATTCCAACTTTTATTGGTTGCAGAGAAAATGTTATGTCGTTCATAATCGCATATTCATCTTCGGAGATATTCAGAACTTCTTTTAAATCGATCATTGCTTTTAGTATACATGTTTTTACTTTAAGGAATCTTTCTAGCATTGCAACAAGACTATTCCACCTCGTTTTGACATCTAATATCAGCTTAAGCTCTTTATTAAACATAGATTTTACGTACATTTGTAAAACTTCATTTTTAAGAGGTGATTTACGGAACATTCGAACCACTTTTCGAACCTTCTGAATTGTTAAGGCTATATTTACGCTATTTTGTAAATCATCAATAAACGTAACGCCTGTTGAGCTGTGTGACTCATCATTACAGTCAAATACATCATCAAACTCGTCGTAATCACTCAAATTTTCATCGGAATCTTGAAACTGCGATTCAAATTCAATATATTTTGCTGAAGAGTCTGACTTTTTGTAAAGAACATCACATACTGCCAAATGAAGTCCGTGGGCATAACACAGCTGATGTTCAATACCACTTAGCCGTCCAAATTTTTTCATTACGGATGCTCCGTCAGTGACACTAGCTATGATGTGCTTTTTAATTGATAAACTGAAATCTGACAGTTTATTTTCAACTAGATCAACAATTTTTTCTGCAGGAAGTGATCCAGCTATCGGAGTCATTCCCAGGTTCCAAAACTTTGTTGATAAGTGTAAATTTACATTTAAATAACGTCGATTTTTTAAAGACGTATATTCGTCTAACGATAAAGAAAATCGCGACCCGCTAGAAATTTCTTTTGTTATCTCTAAAACCACAGTTTGTCTAGCTAATTCATATTGTTTTTTTATCATACCCATAACATGGGATGGATTTTTTGGTAATAACATGCCTTTTTCAGACAATGATTTTCTAATGAATTCACTTTTTGTTATGGCATTTATTGAGAAGCCATCCACCGTTGCTAGCTTTGACACAATTTCCTCGATAGTCTGCTGTTTAACAAACAATGTTATTTTCTTTTGAACAATTTTATTTTCCGAACCAGTATCTTCAAGTAGACGCTTCATATTTAGATCCAAATCTTTATGTGTGTTTTTTAAATGACGTAGGAGCCCACTGGTCGAAAATCCTTTGCACATTATCTTTACATTGCACTTTTTGCAAATTGCAGATTCGCCAGATTTTTCTTTACAAAAATACTGCCATGCTTTGGATCCATTTACAATTGACATAGTATAACTAAATTGAATCGCAGAACAACTAAAAGTAAAGTTACAAATATTTCTTACATATGTATGTTATCTTACGTATGACTTTTATGTGTTTGTTTGCCGTTTTTTAAATACAAAAATTATTAAATATTTCAATAATTTGATACAGAAAAAGTTTAACTTTTCAATAATTTAGAAGTTTAAAAATTAAACTTACTGTTTTCGTCGCAAGAAATCTTTTTTATTTTTTACTCATATTTTATAATAATGAGAAAAAAGAAAACATTGCATTGCAATGCATTTCTTTTTAGTTTAAGATAGTTTCAATAGCATTTCTTGTTGTGCTAGGTTTTAATATAAGGTATGAACACATAAAACACAACTAAATGCAATAATATTTTTCTTATTTTTGGTCGAATTAGTTCAAAGTTATCATATGTAAAATTATTTTAAAAAAAATTATATTCCGGGATATAAGAGTGATATCCCGGGAAATCCCGCTGCCACTTTTATCCCCGGGATCCCGGGAAAACGGGATCCCGGGATCCCGTTTGAGAAACCCTAGCTCTTATATATGCAATTTTTTACACACTGCTCTTTAACTAAAAACCTCAGAGATTTTTATTTAAAAATATTTTTAATTTAAGTTTTTTAAACCACACTTCCAGTTGGCTAAAACTAATTTAAAAACATGTTTTATTAACCACACTTTTTCAAAAACTGTAGAATGCTTAAAAAAAGATGAGGGGATCATAATTGAACGTATAAATTATGATTTAAGAGACAAAAATGTCTATTTTTGGAAAAGAATTGTTTACTCATTTAACTGGTAAAAAAAAGATGGACCTGTGATTAAATTTAGGCATAAATTATCTGATAATAATTTGTGGAAGATGCAAGATAAATCTTTAAACAAAATGTTATTAGAGTTATTAGTTATTGAGACTTCCTGCTTGAATGGTTGTCATCAAATTAAAAAGTTAATAAGAATCAAATAAAAAGTTAAGAATTGCTTAAGCGCTATCTACTGCCTTGATACCATAAGTAAACTGAAAAGATTTCATTAAAAAAAATTAATATAGATCAGATTACTATCAAATAATTACTTCTTGCATTTGCATTCTTTAATACAAAACGATATTAGAAGATCCAGAAAACAGGAGAACACCTATGCTGATGTTACAAACATGTCACACTACTTAACAGGTTTTTTGTCAAAAAATGCTTATTCAAGGGTGTTTAAAACTCTTTTTTTTAAGGATATTGTACTAACCTATCTATGCCAGTAAATAAAACCACAATAATTTTTTATTGAACTTATTGATATTGATGGAGGATATAGGTCTCAATAACCCATCACCAATTTTAAACAAAGAACTAGAAGTATACTTGACTCAACAAGGTGATCATAATAGGCATAGTTTAAAATCTAGGAAAAAATGTTCACAATATAAAAACACTTTTCTAACTCATTCAATTTATTCAATTGAGCAATCAAAATATTGTTTTGGACTCATCAACATTTATCTTGGAGCATGTGTACCTTATTACTTATCTTGATTTAAGAAGTTTCAAAAGAGCAACATCTATAAGTTTGTTTTTTAACATATCGTAAAATAATATATTATTATTATTATTGATCAAATAATCAAAAAATAATCTGCTATTATGTGCTATCATGTTGCTATTGTGACAAGCCAATAGCTGAGAAAGAAGTTTCAAGTTATTTCAGATCTTTAACAGATAAATATTTGAAAAGTATCAAATTGATAGTAAACCTCATATGCTGATTATCAGAATGTTGCTAACCCATGCTTGTTAGATAAGAAATTGAATGAAGAAATCATCAACACAATTGTGTTGATAATTTCTTCATTCAATTAGTAAAGTCTAAAGATCTTGGACATAAAAAATAAGGTATAATTAACTTATTATATAAAGAAATCTAGTTTATATAAAGTTATATAGTTTATATATAGTTTATATAAAGTTATATAAAATCTAGTTATATAAAGAAATTTATAACTTATTATATAAAGAAATCATCTACACAATTGTGTTGATAATTTCTTCATTCAATTTCTTAATCAGCATATTCTTCATTCAATTTATTAATCAGCATATGAGGTTATTTTCAATGTTAATATTCCACCAATCATATACCATTTTTCTTAGCATCATATAAGTTAAATTGATTATTACTGGTCTGAAATATTAAAAGTATTAGAGTAAATCGCAAATGCACAGGAAAATTTATTTTTTTACTATTACAGATGCATAGTTCATTTTTTTGGCGTTTGGTTCACATAATAGTAAATTGCATAAAAAATTTTACAATACGATAATATCCATCGAACATTAAGTCTTCCTCTCTGTTTTTGGGCTTAAAATATAAAAGTAACTTAACTATAGGTAATTTTATAAATCTTATCATAGACCGCTATATCATGTTGTAATTTTCATTTACTCCTTTATCACAGACCACTATCATCATGTTGTAATTTTTATTTGCTATGTTTTGAATTTGCTTTTATTAGGCAGTTTAAACAATGAAAATATAAAAATTATTTAAAGTTTTATATAAAATTGATCTCTAAGAGGTTTTGTAAGTGACCAGGAAACCTAACATAAATAAACAGAAAAGGAATGTTCTAAGAGGCAAAATTATAAAACAGGTAGGTGTGGGTACCTGGTATTTTAGAGTAAACAGTTTAAAAGCAGTAAAAAATTAGCAAAAGAGATCTCAGTTTTGGTTTCAAATTAGTTACTCTTAGTTTAATAACTTTCATAAGTTTGCACTGTGGATCTGCAAAAAAAATTACTTGATTTTTTTTATGTTGCAATAATCACACTCTAAATACGCAGATTAGTTACAGAGAGCATAAAGTATTTTTTCATAATTTTTTAAAAGGTTTAAAATAATAATACATATGTGATACAACTTTTTTATAGTGTAGCAAAAGATTACGCTCGCTTAATGAAATATGGTGACTCAATGTATCGCTGTAAGCAGTTAAAAAAAGCAGCTTTGGGGAGAATGTGTACAATAATGAAAAGGCAAAATCAAAGTTTGCAATACCTAGAACAAGTTCGACAACATCTATCTCGGTTGCCTTCTATTGATCCTAATACAAGGACTCTCTTATTAACAGGATTTCCAAATGTTGGTAAATCTAGTTTTATGAATAAAGTTACTCGTGCTGATGTTGAGGTACAGCCCTATGCATTTACAACAAAATCATTGTATGTCGGGCATATGGATTATCAATATTTACGCTGGCAGGTAATTTTCTACTCATCGCTTATTTAGTTTTTTTATAACATTATTTTTATATTAATTTCTTTTTTTATAAAGTTTTTATAATTTTTTTTTTTTTTTTTTTTTTGTATATGTTATAGGGAAATCATATGAACATTTTTTGTCAAGTATCTTTACTGAGAATTTCTCAGCTAGCATTCAATTTGTTATTTTATTTATATGCACATAATGTAACTCATTTCAGAAATATTTCTCTAGTTTGTAAATTTTTTTTATTAGATAGGATTAAAAGCATGCTAAAATGTTGGTCAATGTCAGATGCTACTTTTGGGTTTTAAAAGTATTTTTAGATTGTTCAGTCATAGGCACGACTAGTTGTATTGACTGATATAGCCACAGACTCACCTGAGTGTACATACATTGACTTAAAAAGCCATTGGCACAACTAAGTGTACATACTAAATGGTTTCATTAGGACAGGTACTCTTTAATTAAATAAAATCTCATTTAAAAAAGGTTAAAAGGTTTGGATCCTCTCTGATAGCTAAGCTATCAGTTTTAAAGCTGTGCCTCTATTAAAAAACCTAAGCAAAGATTTTAAGGGTAAGCAGAATAATTATGTTGACCATTACATTAGTATCAGTAGTAGTTCCATTAGTAGAAGTAGTAGAGGTAGCAACTGCAGTATCCATAGTTGTGGTAGTATTAGTATCAGTTGCAGTAGTAGCAATAAGAACTGCTGTAGTATAGTATCTGTTGCATTAGTAGCAGTAGTAACTATAGTAAGTGCAGTAGCAACTGCAGTAGTAGCAGTAATAACTGCAATAGTAGCAGAGTTTTAAATACAAAAAGTACCTTTAAACTCAATTGCAGTCCTAAATTACTTCCAAAAGTATCCCCAGATCACTCTAATTTTTGAAAAATATTATAAAAATAAAACATAATGAAAATTAGTTACAAAATGATTGGCTCTTTTGAATTTGAGTTTTTTAAAGTTTACACATGTTAAGTTATTTAAAAACAATAATTTAAGTTTTTTTCTTCATATTTTCTGTCTTTAAAAATGTATATGCTAAAATAAAATATATATTTTATAACTAAAATATATGCAGCATTCGTTTTTTAATATTTTTAAACAGATACTAAAAATTTGAAAATAACAAAACTTGATGTTTTCACTTTGTTAAGTCCTGAATTTTTTATTCATAATTACACATAATTGCATAGTTACACATAATTACATACCCGGTTACATAATTGCCGGTAAAAAATCCGGTTAGGTGCTTTATTATATATTAAATTGTTTTAACTTTATGATCAAGGTTGTGGATACTCCAGGAATCCTGGATCATGCACTCGAAGAAAGAAATACTATTGAAATGCAGGTTGTTATCAAATTTTTTCTTAGAAAGATCTTATAAAAGTTTTCTAATATTTTAAAACTGTCTTATTTTGTTTATTCTTTATTTTTGTTTTAGGCTATTACAGCATTAGCTCATTTACGTGCTTCTATAATTTATGTGATGGACATAAGTGAGCAATGCAGCAAATCTCTCAATGAGCAAATAGAGTTGTTTAATAGCATAAAACCATTATTCTCAAACAAGCCAATCATTATTGCATTAAATAAAGTAGATATTATAGGTCTTGATGATTTACCTCAAGAAAAGAAAAATTTATTAAACCAATTTCAGGAAGAAGGTTTTTTTTATCAATTTATTATTTTAAGAAGTAATAATTTTTAAGCTGTATTTTACTTAACAATATTTATTTTTTATTTTTTATTTATAAATTATATTTTTTTTTAAATATTACTAATAAACAAATAAGATTTTTTAATATAAAAACTGAAAAGATTTTTTTGTAAATAACTTAATTAGTTAAAAAAATGATATGTGCCTCACTGAGCAGTGCCATATCCAGACCTAATCCCATACCATTTAACCGGGTATGGGTGCCCAAACTTAAAATTCTATAAGCTATTAATTAAAAGTAAATAAACATGGAACAAATGTCGTTTTCGTTAGCTGCACATTACGTTTTATAACTATAATTATATTCGTTAACTTTATCAATGTTGCTTACTTATATATAAGTATGAAATTATATGTGAAGTTAAGTAATGATTTTTATGTTAAAAGTTAAATTGCTTTGTCAGCGTAAGTTCCACTTTGTAATCAAATTTAATTTTAAACCCTGTTTAAACTTTTTAAATCAATAACCATAACAAAAAATAAAATTAGAATTAAAAAATTTGAAAACGATTATATTTCTTTTATATTTGTTTCTTTAAACTAATTTATAAAAGTTTTATTTATCTAAAAATTATTTTATTCATAGCATTATAATCTCTTTTATGTTTTTATCGCATACTGCAATTTTTGTTTTTGTTTTTTTAAGTATTTAATTAATTATTTTTAATAAATATTGTAAACAATTTAAAGATATATTTTATCAGTTACCAATAAGATATTTGTAAACATTATTTTTGTTCATAAATAAAATTTATCTTGTACAAACTTATCTAAATTTTTAACTCAAAATAAAATGTTTAATTCCATATTTTAAAAACAAAATTTAACAAAAACACTTCTCCTTTCTTAAAACAATAAAGTTTTTTTTACACATTTGAATATAAAGACTTTCTTAAAATCTTAACGTTTTTATGTATATAAAGACTTTCTTAAAATCTTAACGTTTTTATGTAATATAAAGACTTTCTTAAAATCTTAACGTTTTTATGTAATGTTTTCAAATAATTATTTCTTTAAGAAGTATTACAAAACCATTTTACTTTCCTTCAAAGTTAAAATTATTATGAAAATTAAAAATTTTCAAAATAAAGATTTTGAAATATATAATTTATTTAAGGTTTTTTACTGGAAAAAAAAATAGTTAATTTCACAAATAAGCTTATCGTGTTTTTTACAATAATTAATTTAATCTAAAGCAAAACCGCATTAACAGTGTAAAAAACTATTTAAATTTATAATCGGTAAAAGTTGTTTCTTAACATAAATAGCGCCTGTAGTTGAAATCGTCATTTTGTTGGTAAAATGCATACTGCTTAATGCTTCTTAACAACTCTTAACAAGTCCTGGTAGACTTCTAACATTTTAGGTAGACTTCTAAAAAACATATTTAAGATATTTAAAACATGTCTTGTAACCTCTAGGTGAAACAAATCTTTTTAAAAATCTATTCACAGTAATACAAAGTTAATACTTTTAAAAATACAAAGTTAATACTTTTTTTTCACAACCGGTATCACACTTAACGATCGCTGGGTAATGCACTGCTCACTTTGTTTAGCTCGTCTTTAACTTGAGTTCTTTAGAAAAGCTAAATTATACCATATTGATGCTTAACTAACAAGAACACACACTTGCATAATAATAAAGCAGATAAGCACAGGAACACTGCATTGTTTTTTATACTAGTAACAGTTTATTATTATTTTTTTATTATTATTGTTTTAAAAATTTTGAAAAGTTAAGTTTATTTGTTTAAATGTTAAAAATCCTTTGATAGCGATTCTTAAGAAATCCTTTGTATTTTAGATTTTAATTTAAAAATGATAAAAAAATCATTTATTAGCTGTTTCCTTTAGATGTTTATAATTTAAAATACAAGTATTATTACTTATACTCTAAACAAAACTTTACCCTAATAGAGTTTCTTAGGCATTTCTTAACAAAACTAAAGTTTTAATATTGTTAAATCAATTGAACTTTAATAATTGATAAATGTGTTTTATAGGTATACCTGTAATTCCAATGAGCACAATATCAGAGGAAGGGGTTATGAATGTTAAAGTAGAAGCATGCGATAGATTGCTTGCACAACGAGTAGAGATAAAACTAAAGGCAAAAAATGTCAATGATGTTGTTAACAGATTACATGTAGCAGTTCCTAAGCCAAGAGACAATAAAGAAAGGCCTCCTTTTATACCAGAAGCTGTGAAAGAACAAAGTAAATTTTTATTAAATGTTAATGTGTGCAAGTTTTATTAGTATATGATTATGTATTTTAATATTTTTAGCAAAACTAATGGATTCCGCTTCTAAGAAATTACAGAAGCATTATGAGCAATCTTTATTGGAAGATTATAACTTTGACGATAAGGCACTCTACTTTGTCAAAGACAACGAAAAGTATGACATTATACCTGAAATTTTGAATGGGAAAAATATTGCAGATTACATTGATCAAGATCTTTTTGAAAAACTTGAACAGTTAGAAAAAGAAGAAGAACTTCGAGAGGCTGCAGGAGTTTACGAATCAGACATGGTAATTTTGTAAATTTTTTGTTTTAATGGTCTTAAAAAATTCATAAAAGTACAATTAAATAACAGTAAGTGAGACAAATAAGTAAATAAGACTAACAGAAAAATCGAGTTGGTAAAAGTTGATTTTAAATATTAGGATGATATGAATTCAGAAGAGGAAGAAATCCGAAAGACTGCTCAAGCGTAAGATTTTTATACTTTATATTCAAATTTTGATTATTATTTGTTTAAAAAACTTAATAAAACTTTGATTTTGATTAAACTTTAATCATAATCTAAGTCATAATCAGGACCAGGACCAAGTCATAATCAGGACCAGGACCATGCCATAATCAGGAACAGAGCTATTTCATAATCTAGAAAAGTTACATAGATTTTTTGCTTGATTGTCTAATTAAGGAGACTTTTTTTTGTGTTTTCATACAAATAAAAACGATTTTAAAATAAATTGAATAATATGTGTGTTGATGTTTAATATGTGTGTTGAATTTTTTAATATAATGTTTGTTTTATATTTTGTGTTAATTATTTAATATAAATTATATTTAAAAAAATGCTTTTTTTTGCTATATGTTAAAAGTTATATTAAAATATAATACCTCTGATGTTAACTGCATCCAGCTAAACATCCCTTGCCTTGGGGCTCTTGGTTGAGTAAAGGCTAGAGATGGTGTCTCGATAAAAATACTCATCTTGGGCAGATGTTAACTGCATCCAGCTACTGTCTTGAAGAAGGCCTCATAGGCAAAGACTTTAGGGGTAAGCAGAAAAATTCTGCTAACCAGCCTCGAGCCCCTTCTTCATCTATTAGGCTGGCGTAGATGTAACCTGTTACATTGTTTCCTGCCTAGGAAACAATGTAACAGGTTACATTGTTTCCTTTTAGATGTTCTGATGAATTGTTTCAGATCTCTGATTAAATTGGCCATGCCCTCTCTCTTTACGCCTCTGCCAATATTGTTGTTGTTGGTGATTTTAATGCCCATCACACTGAATGGCTTGGCTCACACCACTGATCCTGCTGGCACTAAAGCCTTTAACTTCTGCGTTTCTCAATCTTTTACTCAGTTAACTTTGTGACTCGTTTTCCTGACAACCCTAATCATTTACCTTCACTCCTTGACTTATGTCTTGTCTCTGACCCTAGCTTATGTTCAGTTTCTCCCTTTTCTCTCTTAGGTGGTTCTGACCATGCAATGATCTCTATAAATCTTTCTTCTCGTACTTCTTTTTTGGGCTCACCTTATCATCGCACCACCTACTACTACCCTAAAGGTGACTGGGATTCTTTTCGTGATTTTCTTCGTGATGGTCCTTGGGCTGATGGTTTTTCTTTCTCAGCTGATAAATGTGCCTCCTCCTGGATTCAGGCTGGAATGGAAGCTTTTATTCCTTCTTGTCGGCTTCAAGTCAAGCCTCATTCTACTCCATGGTTTTCTCCTTCTTGTGCGGCTGCTATATCCAATCGTAATCATTTTTTTCATCTTTTTCAAAAGAACAACTCTCTTGAGAACAAACGGCTAATTTATTATTGCAAGAAATCGATGTAAAAAGGTGCTTTCTGATGCTAAACTCCATTATTCTCAGTTCACTAAATCTCGCATCTTATCACAGAAGTTAGGCTCTAAAGACTTTTGGAAAATCTTCAACAGCATTATTAACAAGGGTAGATCTAACATTCCATCTTTCATTCATGGGACTGATCTTATTACCTCTCCCAAGGATACGGCAGAACTATTTTAACTTTTTTTCTAATTCCACTCTTGAATCTTATGGACATTCTCTTCCTTCCATTCCAGTCAAACAAGTTGACCCATTGTTAGACATTCAAATCACTCCGGCTTCTGTTGCTAAAGTCATATCTCAATTAAACTTGTCTACAGCTTGTGGTCCAGACAACATTCCTGTCACAGTCTTGCAGAATTGTTCTCCAGAACTTTCTTCAATTCTCTCTAAACTATTTAACAAGTGTTTGACTGAGTCTTGTTTTCCTGCTTGTTGGAAAATGGCATCTGTGGTTCCAATATTCAAAAACTCTGGAGAAAATTCTGACCCCTCCAATTATCGTCCGATCAGTCTTCTTTCTGTTATTAGCAAGGTCTTTGAGTCTTTGATCAACAAATTCCTCACATCTCATCTTGAGTCAAATAAACTGCTGTCAGACAATCAATACGGTTTTCGATCCTCTCGCTCTACGGCCGACTTGTTAACTGCTGTAACTGAAAGATTTTATCGTGCATTAGATGGAGGCGGTGAGGCTAGGGCTATTGCTCTCGACATATCTAAAGCTTTCGACAAAGTTTGGCATGCTGGTCTTTTCCATAAGCTTGCTTCATATGGTGTTTCTGGGAAAGTTTTTGAGATTATCAAATCATTTCTTTCTAACCGGTTTATTAAAGTCATCCTTGAAGGCCAACACTCTTCTTTATTTCCAGTAACTTCTGGGGTTTCCCAAGGTTTCATCCTGGGCCCTGTTTTTTTTCTTATCTACATAAACGATCTTCCTGACAACCTTTCATCTAAAGTAGCTCTTTTTGCTGATGACTCAACTTTATACTCCTGTCTTGACAAAAAGTCTTCTCTTTTCGATCGCCTAGAACAAGCAGCTGATCTTGAATCCAATCTCACTTCAGTAATAGATTGGGGTTCACAGTGGCTTGTGAATTTTAACTCTAAAAAAACCCAATTGCTTACTGCAAACAACTACCGTAATATGGTCAACATTCCTATATTAATGAATGGCAATCCTCTTACTGAGTCCTCCTCTTTACGTCTTCTTGGATTATCGCTTACTACTGACCTTTCATGGAAACCATATATACAATCGATTGCTAAATTAGCTTCTGCTAAGGTTGCTTCTCTTTATTGTGCTCGCCATTTCCTTACTTCTGATTCCATTCTCTACCTCTACAAATCTCTTATTCGTCCCTGTATGGAATACTGTTGTCATATTTGGGCTGGTTCTTCTAACGATTCACTTTCTCTTCTTGACAAGGTCCAAAAACGCATTGTAAATGTTGTTGGACCTGGATTATCTGCTAAGCTTGAACCTCTTTCCCATCGTCGTAAAGTTGCATCTCTTTCTCTTTTCTACAGATACTATCATGGTCACTGCTCAAAGGAGTTATCATCTCTAGTTCCATCAACTAAAATTCATTCTCGTTATACTCGTCATTCAGCTAAGTCTCATTTGTTTACTGTATCTGTCCCTGCATGCTCTAAAAACTTTTATTCATCTAGTTTTTTTCCCCGCACTTCAATCCTTTGGAACTCTCTCCCATCTTCATGTTTTCCTGACTCATACAACCTTCAACTTTTCAAGTCTTCTGTCAACCGTTTCCTTGCTCTATAACTCTGTTCTTTTTTTCCTAGTAGCTCCCAACTTAATAGTGGTTGCTTGCAGCCTTGTTGGGAGTGAATGCAAATAAAAAAAAATAATAATACATTTTCAATTAAGTTTGTGATTTTAGTACAAGTCTTTACAATACACAATGAACGTTCTGGATTTTTTTGTCCTCATCTTTTTATTAGTGACAGAAATAAGTTGATAATTTTTTTGTCCTCGTATTTATATTAGTGATAGAGACAGTTGGAGAACTGGAGTTTTTTAAAGCTTTAATTTTTTATATAGAATATTTTTTGTAAAGAAATTTGTTTGGCAATTATAAACATAAAAAGATTTTGCTATATGTCTGAAAATTACCATTTTGAACAGCTAAAAAATTCTTCGGTTCTGATTCTGATTAAACTGACTTTTCTTAATTATTTCATTTTCTTAGTTTTATTATCTACCACTACTACTAATCTAAAAACTACTACGCAATTATCTAAAGCTACTATATACTAATATATATATATATATATATATATATATATATATATATATATATATATATATATATATATATATATATATATATATATATATATATATATTTATATATATATATTTATATATATATATTTATATATATATATTTATATATATATTTATTTATATATATATTTATTTATATATATTTATATATATTATATATATTTACTTTAGTATTCGTAAACAGAAAAAAATTAGAGTTCAAGAACATCGTGAAAAGAAAACTAAAGGAGGGAATGCTTCAGTTTTGCCACGAAAGGCTTCTCTTAGAGTGAGCAAATTGATAAAAGGTTTTTTTCTTTTTTCTTTTTTTTTGTAACTTTTTTATAATTTTAAAAAACTTTTTAGTTGGAGAGGTTTGGTCGCCCAATGAAAAGAAAGGCTGCAAACGATGATGACGATGTGGATATGGTTTGTTTTTAATATATAATTTTTAGCCGCGGTGAAGGAGTGGTCCGCGGTGAAGGAGTGGTCCGCGGTGAAGGAGTGGTCCGCGGTGAAGGAGTGGTCCTTATCAGAGGGAAAACTCTGATTTAATACCCACAACTTTATTTTGAGTAAAGGTAGCATCTTGTAATCTTTCTAGTGATAGTATCGCAAAAAAAAATATTCCGATTTGCAAAATAAGTTGTTGCCAGGAAAGGCATTCATTTGTAAAATATTGCATTAACTCTTCCATTGTCCGTAATTTTACATAAGTGTAAAATTATGGACGCTAAACTTTAAAAACAATCATTGTTTAATTTGTCTTGATAAGTTAATATAAAAAAATTTAATAAATTTCTTATTATATACATGAAGGAATCCAATGAAAATGGCTCCAGACTTGACAGTACGTCGAGAAAGTTAGCTAAGAAACGTAAGTCAGACTCTTCTTTAGCAAGAAAGTCTTCCAATCATCCCAGTCTTACTCTTCCTCGTGATGTTTCTGGTATACGTGATCCAATAAAACGAGCTAAAGCAAAGAAAGTGACACGGACATTCCAAAGAAAATTTAACTCACAAGGAAAAGCAGGTATCTTATTATTTGAAATTTTTATTGTTTTTATTATATACATTAGTTCTATTTCTGAATTAAAACTAATGCATATATGCATTTATAATTTTTCCTATATTATTTAATTTTTTAAAATCAAATCTTTCATGAATATGTGTGTATGTATGTATATATATATATATATATATATATATATATATATATATATATATATATATATATATATATATATATATATATATATACATATATATATATATACATATATATATATATATATATATATATATATATATATATATATATATATATATATATATATATATATATATATATATATATATATATATATATATATATATGCACAATAAAAATTAATGATTTACTTTTAGGAGAATCTGATCGCCACATTCATTCAAAGATGCCGAAACATTTGTTTGCTGGAAAACGCAAATCAGGAAAAACTGATCGTCGTTAATGTAAATAAAATTAAATTCAAAAATGTCGTTAAAAAAAATTCTTTTTAATTAACCATTGAGATAAAAATTTTAACCTCCCCTTTATCAACAACTTGTTAAACTTTCAGAGACCTTCCCCTTCTCTCCTATAAAATTACGTAAAAATTTGATTCTTTCCATCCTCTTTACCCATAATATTATTAAAATGGAAAAAAAAAGCTCTTTTTGCTGATGACTCAACTTTATACTCCTGTCTTGACAAAAAGTCTTCTCTTTTCGATCGCCTAGAACAAGCTGCTGATCTTGAATCTGATCTCACTTCAGTAATAGATTGGGGTTCACAGTGGCTTGTGAATTTCAACTCTAACAAAACCCAGTTGTTTACTGCAAACAATTACCGTAATATGGTCAACATTCCTATAATAATGAATGGCAATCCTCTTACTGAGTCCTCCTCTTTACGTCTTCCGGATTATCGCTTACTACTGACCTTTCATGGAAACCATATATACAATCGATTGTATATATGGTTTCCTTCTCTCCTATAAAATTACGTAAAAATTTGATTCTTTCCATCCTCTTTACCCATTATATTATTAAAATGGAAAAAAAAACATCCTTTTTTCTGTAACATTGTTGGCATCATCTTTTCTTGACCTCACCCTTCCCCTTTGTCTAAAATTTCCAGAATCCCATTACCTCTTTCACCTAATTCTTTGACGTAATTAATGGACAACTCCTAATAACTTGAATCGAAATGCCATCCATAGTCACTTCTTACTTTCTCATCTGGTAATATGCAGGGCCGGTGCACCCTATAGGCGAACTAGGCAATCGCCTAGGGCGTTAAAGTTTAGGGGCGCCTAAAAATTGATAAGTTTTTTTATATGCTAACAAAAAACAACGCTTTTGCTCATTGAGCAATATGTACGTACATTTTACCGAACGCAATCTAAATCATAACAAATATGGCGGCGTCTTTACAATCAAAGTGATTTTCATAACAACTTTCAATAGTTAGTCGACTATATTCTTTATATAATTTATACTGACAATATATATATATATACATATAGATGAATAGTGACATTCTATATACTATTATACATTTATATTAAGTTTTAGACACTTATTAAGAAAAGTAAAATATTTTTTATATGAATATATAATAACTAGCTTAAATCTAGGGCTATTATATATTACGTATTATATTATTATTATACTTCACCATACGTATAACTTTGCTATACAAAATAAAATTTGAATTATTTAAACACAATGCATCTAGCAGGTTAAATTTTTTGTTGAGTCGCTTCTACAATATGTCTTGATCTGCACCAGCTAATTACACATTGAAATCTCATTCATATAGCTAACTTCCATTTCCGTTTAAAAAAACACAAAAAATACTAGCAGGTCGTATAACTTTGCCAAGTTGTTTTTTGTATAATACAGTTAAATGATAACTTGTTAAAACCTTACAGAGCTGTTCAGACCTGTTGGAAACTATAGCTAGCTATATATAATTTATTCTTGAAGCCAATCACAGAAGACCTATTAATGTACTAGTTAAACATCGCAACATTCGTTTATTTTATTATTTTCTTGTTACATTTCAGATATGGCTGAGAGAAAGAAGCCTTCAGGAGCTCAATATCGTAAACGAAAAGTTGAACAGCAGAGGGAACAAGAAAAACAGAAGGGTTCATTGCTAAAGTTTATATGCCGACAAGACTCTACTAAAGAGGATAGTAATGGTGGACAGATTCCCACTGATATGGAAGCTGAAGAAATATCTAATGTTGTTGATAATGATAATGTGATGATGAGTGAAACACTTTCTTACTCAACAGTTCCCGTTTCCCATGCAGATAATGGCCAATTGAATAATTCTCTCGAGGAACATGTACAGCAAGCAAGTGAAGAAAAAACGGATAATGTTATTCCACAGGATCCAGCACTTTGGCCTCTACTAATTAATCATAATACACGTGCAATCATTGTAGAACGTGGACCTCAGCAAATAAAAGATATCAGTTTCCCAAATGATAAGAACAATCGAAAGTTTTCAGTATTTCACTACTTAAGAAAACTTCCTAATGGAGAAGAATTATGTCGCAGCTGGCTCTTGTATTCAGTATTAAAAGACTCAGTGTTTTGTTTCTGTTGCAAACTGTTCAGTATGAAAGCAATTGGCATATCATCACTAACTCATACAGGTTCAAGTGACTGGAAAAACAAGGCGGCAATTCTTTCTTCCCACGAGAAAAGTCTTGAACATTTGCAGAACTATCAAAAGTGGAAAGAACTACATCAGCGATTACAGAGGGATAGTACAATAGATGCAGAAATTTTGCGCAAGATGAAGAATGAAGAAAAGTATTGGCAGCAAATACTAAAGCGTTTAATAGCATTAGTGAGAGTTTTGGGTGAACAGAATCTAGCTTTTCGCGGTACAAATGAAACATTGTACAGTGCCAATAACGGGAATTTTTTAAAATTTGTGCAATACTTAGCCATTTTTGATCCATTAATGAACGAACATCTACGAAAGATATCAAATAAAGAGCTTCATACACACTATCTTGGCAAAGATATACAAAATGAACTTATTCAACTGTTAGGAAATGCTATTAAGAAAGAAATCATACAAACAGCAAATGCAATGAAATATTTTTCAATAGTTCTCGATGGTACTCCTGACTGTAGCCATGTTGAGCAAATGACAATAATTATTCGTTTTGTTAAAGTTGATTCATTGAAAAAGGAGTTTAGTATCAAAGAACATTTTTTAGGCTTTGTACCTTTAAAGAAAACAACTGGAGCCTATATGGCAGAAACGATAATACAACAACTAGAAGAAATGGAGTTACCTATTGATAATTTACGTGGCCAAGGCTACGATAATGGCGCAAATATTATAGGCAAAAATAATGGTGTTCAAAAGAAAATATTAAACATTAATCCTCGAGCATTGTTTGTTCCTTGCAGCGCGCATACTCTTAATTTGGTTGTCAATGATGCTGCAAATTGTTGTCTAATGGCTACAAGTTTTTTTGATATTGTCCAACGTGTGTATGTATATTTTTCGTCTTCAACACATCGGTGGGTAGTTTTCACTAGTCATAAACCTACGTTAACTGTTAAGCCTCTAAGTGAAACAAGATGGGAAAGCAGAATAGATGCTATAAAGCCTTTGCGATATGAACTTGGTAAAATATATGATGCACTGCTAGAAATAGCTGATGATACTTCTCTAACTGGATCCTCAGTGATGCTAAAGCACTTGCGAATAGTGTTGCAAAGTTTAAGTTCGTGGTTTCAATTGTTGTATGGTACAACATACTTGAAATCAATATAACAAGTAAGCAGCTCCAAGCTAAAGATTTGGATATTCATGCTGCTGTACAACAGTTACAACACACACAAGCCTATTTGGTTGACTGTAGGAGTGACATAGGTTTTGCAAGAATGCTAGTGGATGCTGCTGAAATTGCTAAGGATTTGGAGATACCACCAACCTTTGAGGCAGAACCATGATTACGGCGGAGAAAAAAGCAATTTGCATATGAAGCTGAAGATGAGCCTTTGCAAGATCCAAAACAAAATTTCAAAGTGAATTTTTTCTTTGCTATACTTGACACAGCAATAAGGTCGGTTGAAGAAAGGTTTGAACAAATGAGAACAATTGAATCAATTGTATTTGGTTTCTTATATCATATTCATGGTCTACAGAGTAAAACTTCACAAGAAATATTGGAATGTTGCATGAAACTAGAATCTGCTTTACAACATGGTGATAACAGAGATTTAGTTGCATCAGATTTGTGTGGCGAACTACAGTCTATTGCACGACGACTTTCTGAAGAAACAAAGTCTCCTCAAGATGTTTTTCGATTTATTCTTTGCCAAAACTTGGAAGACAGTCTACCCAACCTTTGTATTGCTCTTCGTATTTTGCTGACATTACCTGTTTTTGTCGCTAGTGGAGAGCGTAGTTTTTCCAAACTAAAAATGATAAAGACATACATTCGATCATCCATGTGCCAAGACAGATTGGTTGGGTTGGCAATTCTTTCCATTGAGCACGAACTTGCAGACAAGCTGGACCTGAAGGACCTTGTGATCGATTTTGCCCAGAAAAAGGCACGCAAAGTACAGTTTTGATATTTTTAAATAAATAAATACTTACCTGGTGTTTTCACTTTATTTTGCATTTTATTTTGATTTTTTTACGTAAAAGGGGTGCGACCTTTGAAGTTTTGCCTAGGGTGTCATAACCCCTTTGCACCGGCCCTGGTAATATGGTTAATTATATTAAATAAATTAATGAACAAAACACATTTAACCCATTTAAAGTATAATTTTAAAGCATTTTAGAAAAGTTATTTAGACGACATTAAAATTAAAAACACAAGATAATGTAGTTTTCTCGCTTTCAACACAAGAAATAAAAAATCCTTGTTTCTTGTAAACAAACTCTTTTCTAAACTCTTCTTTTTACATAAAAATTCTTTGCATAAATACAAATAATACATTTTCTTGTCTCAAATAATAAATTTTCTCTCTCAAAAAACATCTTTTTAAACATGTAATAAATTTACTACAATACTTGAATAACTTTAGCACAATACGTTAGTTAACCCACAAAAAAGTAGATTAAAAAACCACTTAAACAAAAATAATAAAAAAACGAAAATCACATGGTCGTCATAGGATGTTTCATAACTTTCCACAACAAAATTAAAAATGATCAAAAATCTAGAGCCGTTCTTCATGTGTCTTCTTCAGTTTTTTTTAAGGCAAAATGTATATCATTTATAAAGAAAAAAAAGCCTACTGCGCTCAGAAAGTTTGGTTTTAATTATATATATATATATATATATATATATATATATATATATATATATATATATATATATATATATATATATATATATATATATATATATATATATATATATATATATATATATATATATATATATATGTATATATATATATATATATATATATATATATATATATATTATACATATATATATATATATATATATAT